AGATTATCTCCTAAAACTCACTTCAAGGTTTATCCTTGGCTCTCTGCCAGCTCTCCTAATTCTCCAACAGAGCTAAGTTACCCCTTACAACAGCTTTCTTTTCTTTTTCTTTTCTTTTTTTTTTTTTTAAGATTTTATTATTTATTTGACAGAGAGACTGACAGTGAGAGAGGGAACAGAAGCAGGGGGAATGGGAGAGGGAGAAGCAGCTTGATGCAGGACTCGATCCCAGGACCCAGGGATCATGACCTGAGCTGAAGGCAGCTGCTTAATGGCTGAGCCACCCAAGCCCCCCTAGAACAGCTCTCTTAACCAAAATGTCCATCACCATCTCTTCACTCCCTACTTCCCTTGCCCTGTAATTATCAGCATAGCCAAATTGCCAAGCAAGACTTTCTACAGCCCACACACAAGCCCCCCACCCCCAACCCGGTGGGGTGGCTGTGCTCCACATTAGCTGCGCCTGCCTTCACCCTGTTCCTGGTCTCTGGGGCGCTACTCTCTGGGATACATTTTGCAACATAAGCTATTCTCCTGCTCTGTGAAGCAAAGCAAAGAATTAAAGACAAGCCTGAAATTAGAGTTATCACAGCACTGGGATTCAGAGAATCATGAAATCATAGAATTTTTCTGGTTGGAAGGGACCATAGAGATCTTTTCAACCTGCTGATTTTACAGAATGGGGAAATGGAGAAAGAGAAAGAAAGTGTGTTCAGGGAAACTTACAACCAGAAATGTCCAGTTATGGGGTGATGTTAAGTTGTGGGCCGTGGCTGGATGGCCAGTGTGGAAGGAAGGGTAACATGCCAAGTGTAGGAATTTTCTAGCTAAAGTTTGAGCCTGTCATTGTTCATGAAGTTTCTGTGATGGAACACACTGAACATTTTAGACCTAGAAGCTGGGTTACTCTGTTCCTTGCCCACCACACACTGTTTCCCTTTAGTTAAAGTAAGATGGCCAAATGATTTCATCCTTTTCATATGGGTAGAAAAGGGAATTTTTCCTGACTATCATAGCATATTAAGTTTGGCTCATTTATATGTTTTCAAGCAAAGCTGGAGAAGTAGGGAGAATGCTCTAAAAAGTGGTATTCTGATGTCTGCAAAGATATTTTTAAAAATCCAAGGATTAATTTTTTTTTCCTACTAAAACAAGAGACTGAAGTTACTTTCAGGGAATGTGAGTTAAAGTCAGAGTAGCTTCCTTCCTTCCCAGATTTTGACTTTTCCTACAGGCTTATCTCCACAGAAATGTAGAAATGTCTCATTATCATTCCCTTTCTCTTTCTACCTCATGAAAAATCAAGTCATCAACCAACCTTGCAGAAGACCTCAGGACAGTAAGAATCCATAGGTAGGTCACTGAGGTCCTGAACGTTTTGTAAACTTCTGTGTGTTTGCACATTTTCCCAGAGAATACTTAGCTTCCAGAACCTTCTCAAAGAGTCTAAGAGAACTCAAACTCAGACCTCCTTGTAATAGTTTGCTAGCAGCTGCTATTTTGGATTCTGGGACCCAATTTTAATGTGTGGAAGAGGGTTTCTTTCCACACATACAACCATACCATGCTCAGGACAGCAGCTGTGTGTCCTACGGTTAATTCAATTTTGACCCTATCTACCTATAGACAACATCGGATGCCCACAAGATTGTTCCTACTTCAGATGCCAGATGCAAGCCCAACTTGTTATCTGTGTTTCTGATCCACTGGCTATAAATCAGAGGTTCCTACGACCCCCTTCTTGGGTTCAATTAATTTGCTAGAGCAGCTCACAAAACTCAGGAAACCCATTCACTAAGTACATCACTGGTTTATTACAAAGAATACTAAAAGATACAAATCAACAGCCAGATGAAGACACATAGGGTGATGTCCTGAACAAAGGAGCTTCTGTCTTTGTGGAGCATGGTGGCACATGGAAGTATTTTGGTTTCCCAACCTGGAGGCCCTCCAAACTACCTCCTTTGGGGTTTTTATGGAAGCTTCATTACATAGACATAATTGATTAAATTACTGGCCATTGGTGATTGAACTCAACCTCTAGCCCTTCTCCTATTCATTGAAATCAGGAGGTGGGACTGACAATTCCAACCCTCTATTCACGAATAGTGGTTCCCCTGGCAACCAGCCAAGTGTTTTCCCAAAGTCACCTCATTAAGATAAACCCAGTTGTGGTGGAAAAGGGCTTGTTATGAATAATAATACACCAATTTCACCTTTATGGCTCTGAAGAGTTCAAAAAACAAGGAGAAGACACCAAATATAACAAAAGATGCTCCCATTGCTCTTATTGCTTAAAAAATTCCAAGGGTTTGGGAGCTGTGAGTCAGGAACTGTGGATGAACAATAAATATATGTGAGAAATACATTTTGGTCATCTGACCAAATATATATTTCTTATAAATCATAATATTTAAGCTGCCATACAAGTACTACAGTTTGGGTAGCTTAAACAATAGAAACTTATTATTATTATTATTTAAATTCAGAAGGTTAGAATTCCAAGATCAAGATGTGGCATCTGATTGTTTATGTCTCCCCTGCCCCCATAATTCATATGTTGAAATCCTAACCCCTAAGGGGATGGTGTTAGGAGGTGGACCTTTGGGAGCTATTAGGTCAGGAGTAGGGGGGCCCTCATGATCGGGATTAGTGCCCTCAAAAGAAGTTCGAGAGAGATCCCTAACTTTTCTGCTACGTGAGGACACACGAGGTCTACTGCCCAGAAGAGGGCTCTCACCCAACCATGCTTGCACCCTGATCTTAGATTTCTAGCCTCCAGTGCAATACAGAATAAATTTCTGCTGTTTATAACCCACCCGGTTTATGACTTTTTTTTTTTTTAATATGACAGTATGAACAGGCTAAGACAAGGTGGTAGCAGGGTTGGATTCCTCTGAAGCCTCTATTCTTGGCTTATAGACGTTCTTTTCCCTGTATCTTCACATAAGCTTCCCTCTGTGCATGTCCGTGTCCTAATCTCCTCTTCATATAAGGACACTACACTAATGACCTCATTTAATCTTAATCAACTTTTGGAAACCCTACCTCTACATACATTCACATTCTGAAGTACTAAGGGTTAGAACTTCAACATATGAATTTGGAAGGAACACAGTTCAGTCCATAACATTCCCCAGTTCTTTCCCTCATTGTGTAGGTGGGGACAATGGGTCTTGGGAAGGCTCCATAGTCGACCTCGAGCATATGGTATAACCCAGGCCAAAGCCCAGGTGCCTCACTCCCACACCTGTCCTCAAAGCACCTGTCTTCAAGGAGTTCAAAGTCTAATGAAGAGTGATTGACACATAAGTGAACTATCAGTGCACACTGCAGATGTCATCATGTGTGTGATGCTGAAATGAGGAAGGCCTGGCTGTACAGGAACCAGGACGAAGGTCTCAGGTCCAGAGAGCTTCTAAAAGTCACAGCCACTAGGTTCCCTTGCTCCATGTGAAGGCAGTATGTAGGATGGAAAGAAAACTGGACTGGAAAACTGAATATCCATATTCTGGGTCAAAAACAGCCTATGATGGCACTTTCTAGAGATGGACTCCTGAAGGTGGGAAGGGGCGGAGGGTGGGGAGGGACAGACAGGCCTCAGTCAGCATCTGGGTTGGCACATTCATACTCAAGCCTTGCTGACAGGCCCCTGATCCTGCAGCCTGATTTCAGGAACTTGTTCTTGGCTTTCGCTTTTCTCAGGGTAATGAGCTTCAGCCTCGCACTTGCTAACACTAACAAATGAGGCCAATGGCAGCTCGGCTGTGCATCACCTTTCAGTAGTGGGTTGACAGGGAGAACAATGCATTTGTTTGTGGCTGTAGGGTCTTCAGGGAGGATCTGTCATCATTGTGGTGAGTGTCAAAGGAGTTTCAGGCTTCCTGTGACTGTCAGAATAGAGCACAGGAGAAAGGCAAGTTGGAACCTGCTGACATTTCTCAGGTGAAACTCACAGCCACCTTTTCCTCTTCTGAGTTTCAACGGGACTAAACTTTGTTCTAGTCAAAGAGGCTTTTAATTATAACAATTGCACACTGCCAATTACTGTTTTTCTTTTTCCTGAAGAGTAGTTACCTATACAACATGTGTAGTTTATGGCTACATGATGGAGGAAGGGTAGCTGCCTTCTCTATATAGAAGTACACATTTATGCCTACATAGAGTAGTTGCTTTCACCCTCATGCCTCTGTTGATCTTTTCTAGGCTAGAGGTGGTCTTATGCCTCCTGGAAGATTCATTCTGGCTACTTGGAAGGCAGTAAGCAGAACAACCTGCCTCCTGCCAAGCATCTGGTGAAACTGCCCTTCTATTAGCTGGGTGACCAGGTGGAAGGGTTGGCAGGGGTCTCAATTATTAGGACCTTTCCTCTGAAGTATTGGACATAACCCACTGACATGAACAATCCTCGGCATTTGTCAAAGGATGGAAACTTGACGGCATGTGCAGAGCTGTACAGAGCACCTGAAGCAGGAATGCATGCAGGTGACATTTCAACTTCTGATAGTTTATCTATTGGTAACCCTCAGGGAGAGGCATGGGGAGCCCTATTTACAGTGAAGCCTCGTTCATAAGCCTCTGTCTCCCTATGATGCTCTGAGGTGACTGTGATATTATTCGTTAGTTGGGTATTATGTCACAGTCCCTGCTTTCAGACCCCATTTCTGCCAGCTTCCTATATGACCTACTTTTCTGCAAGACCATTAACTTGAGTGTCTCACAATTCCTATCCAGTTGGATGTGACAACACCTGCTCATAACTGAGGGATGCATTTTAAAAAGATGGAAATTAAACTAAACAAAACAAACCAAAAACACTTTGAAGTTATATAAATTAATTCTACATTTTCTTTCCCACCTATCTTTTTAATGTCACCATTCAAAATAAGGGTTTTTTTTTCTCCTCCCAGATTTGGTGGAAACCTCAACATCCATAGAGAAGAGGTTCTGCACTACAGAAATGAGAAAAAAGATACTGCAATGATTTATAAGCAAGAACTTCTGAAAACTGAAGAGGAAGAAAAGTAATTTCAGTGATCCAACTCCTGCATTAGGCTCAGTGTTCTTTTGGGCAGCACTTGACCTGCATTCCACAATTCAGTCTAATTCAATCTAGAGATGATTTATCCTGCAAGGAACCTTAACAACCAAGTTGTCATGGTTCCATTATTCCAGGGGTGCGGTTGTCCAAATTTTCTCTCTTCTGATAAAAGGGGAGGACTCAAACTCCCTCCCCTTTTCCTCCTTCCAGCTCACCAAGGCAGGGCTACCTCAGAAGCACTTTATGTCTTAAAAATCGTGAACTACAAAACTTCCCACCTCAAGCAATTGAGGGACTCGCTGACGGTTCTTTATCTACTCTTTATGTTCTCGAAAGAGTAGTCAATTAGGAAGTGAGGAGACTGGCTCTGCCACCAACTCATAATCATGAAGGTATGCAATAACTGTTTTTAAGGATTTTCTCACCACAAAAATTCCATCAACTCCCCTCTCTAACTAGCACAATCCAACCCTATTCTTCACTCAGTTCCACCTTCACCCTTCCAATAAGCTGCCCAGGAGGTGCGCCCCCACAGGTTCCCTTTGTTTTGTTCATCCTTCCTTTCTGATGCGCCTGCAGTATCTATGAAGGTGTAGATGCATCTGTCCTACTAGATGATCAGTCCACTGGCCACTGGCAGCTGACAGTTCTGCTGAACATGTCTTTGACTGAAGGTCTTAATCACTCACCTTGTGGAGATGTGGAGTTGGAAGCTCCAGGGCTAGTGTTACTGATACTCTACACCGTCAGTCTTCCATCTGTTCCATCCTCGAGACAACAGCAACAACTTTCTCCATCTCAAGATCACCACATTTGCTCTCACTAACAAAAACAGACTAGAAAAGGGCTTTGGAAGATTTCTGAGACCCTAGGATAACAAATATCTCAGTAGTGCCCATTGAGGGCCACAGCTGTTTTTAGAGGGGAGAGAAGTATCCTTGTAAAAAAGCCGAGGCATAGGGATGAGATAGGAATGTGTGATGACTCCAAGATGGATACAAAACTAAAAACTAGTTAGGATTTATATCTTCTCTGGGCTTTTATGGAGGAAGGTAAAAATGAGAGGACTCCAGCTACAGGGAGTTCCGGTCACCAGCCTGGAGAGGACTTGCCTTCTGGAACTGCTGCCTTCCTGTGTGTCTGAATGGCCACTGAGGGCTTGTGGTTCCCTGCTCCGGCAACCTTTAGAGGAACCTGAAACTACTGCTCTCAGTGTTGGGTGGTTGTCCCTGGGAGCAGTGGATAAGCAGATTTCCATGCTGTGACTCAAGAATGAGTTTATATTCTTCTAGAGAAAACTTTTATAGTATTTTGCTAAGTTATGACTCCTTTTCTTTTTGCAAAGTAAAGGAGTTTGGCTGAGAAGTCCTACAGAACAGGGTTGGCAACCTTTTCTGGAAATGCCTGGACAGTAAATAATTTAGGCTTATGGGCCACACAGACTCTGTCACAACTATTCAACTCTGCCTTTGTAGCACAAAAGCAACCACAGATTATACTCAGACAAATGAGTATGACTATATTCCAGAAATATTCATGGACACTTGCAGTTGAACTTCATAACATTTCCATATGTCACAACATATACTTCTTTTGATATTTTTAAACCATTTTAAAATATAAAAACCATTCCTTGCTCATTGCCCATACAAAAATTAGACCTCAGACCAGGTTTTGCCTATGGGCCATAGTTTGCCTGGCCCTGCTGTAGAAGAAAACCATTTACCGTGGAAATCTGTTTCTCCAAGCCCTGGGTGCTTACACTAGCCCTCATCCTGACAGCCAAATTAGGGTGTCTCTTCAAATCTGTGAAACTAAATAAGTGAGGGCAGGCCCCTCTTACCATCTAGAATGCAGTGTGTGTACACTGGTGTTATTTCATGTATCAGATTCCTGCACGGAAAACACTGTCATGCCATTAATAATCTTCGGAGGAACACCTTGAAACTTGACTCCCTGAAGACATGTTGCAAATGGGCTCTAATGGCTTTTATTTCTCATTCTTGTCACCTCAGATCTAATCAGCTGTTTTGTCATTTTTAATTCCAATTTGGCAGGATTCTCCCAACTTCCCTGGCCTTTTAGAAAGAGGCTCAGAGGAGAACTGGGCCCAGAAGCTCTTGGGACTGGGGGATACAGAGGGAGATGGAGGTCTGAGTATAGGGGGATGGGGGTCAGAGTAGATGTTGACCTTCAACCTTGGCTGAATCAGGAGGACTGGGAAGGAACCTAAATCCTGGAATGACCCTCAGTCCCGCCCTTCACCTCTCTTCCCAGGTTCACTCGTGTCCTGAAATTGCTTTCTCTGTGGGGAAAAGGTCTCTCACTCCACACGTAGGAATGAGGCTCAGAACTTGTATCTTCTGCCTTGGCTTGGGAGATGAAGCTCTGAACTGGAGGCCTTTCAAGAATGTGACTCTTTCTTACATGGAGCAATTGATCTGTGGTCCAGTTTCCCCAAACAGGAACATCCACACCCATCTGGCCTTGAAGAAAAAAAGAGCCATCTTTGACTAGGACTCTGCCTTCCTCGGAAACAGCAAGGAATTGTCAATAATGAAAAGGAATCTGTTCGATAAAAATAAATTATAATTATATGACAAAAATAAATAAAATAAGAGCAAGGTAGTTTCTAGTGTTTGCATGATGCTAAGCCTCTTACCTATATTATCTTATTTAATATTTACTGTAACTCAGGAAGGATATTACTGTTTTCATTTGTAGGTCCGAAAAAGCAGCTCAGAAGGCAAGTGGTTTCTCAAGGTCCACAGTTGGTAAGTAGCAGAGCAGTTTACAAGTGCAAATGTATCTTGCTTCAGAGTTTATGCTTGTAACCACCCAGATGTGGCGGTGCATCTTTGCCAAACCAAATCACCTCTCTGAGCCTCAGTCCTCTTAGTTCTAAAATGAAGCCTGAGACTATAAAATCTCTAACATTACTTCAAAAGCAAAATTTTGATTCTATTATTTTCAACCCCCCCAACCCCTTTCAGGAAGGGGGAAAAAGTAAACAAATAAGTTCATATGGTAACATAGTTCAGTTAAAAAAAAAAAAAAAGGAACTAAATTTCCAGGGTTTCATGAATCCGTGTGTAGCCAGTGCAGTCTCCTATACCCTTCATTATATAAACCTATGAGACAATTAGTACTCACTCCTAGCCTTGGTAAAGAAACAAAATGGGGGCCTGCTCTGATCTTTGCTTGCAAGAAGCTTGTAAAACTATCTTGAAGGTAGATATAAATCAGAGCCAAGAGCTTTTCACTCAAAAATTCAAGATTCTGAATTATTAAAAAATCATTATGCTTATTACACTATATTTATTAACACAGAAAAATAGTTGAGAGCAAGATTTTTCAGCAAGGATTAAGGCTCTAGGCACTTTGGAGTTGAGCAGAAACTTGTTTAATCCATCGTTTCAATGAACAGTATTTCTGTTTAATTCAGAAATCTAAGTAGGCAATTAACTAAGACCTCCATTTCTGAGGTGTTCCGATACTGAGTGTCAGAAACATATGGAAGGGATCAGGGCTGGGATGATAAAATCCAAAGCCTAGTCTTGAATAGTTGCCGAGCAAAAGATTGGAGCAATGTCTTTCCGACCAATTAAACCTAGAAATCCAGGATCTATCCCAGCAGGGACATGGGGGATCTGAAGAAGGTGAGTTCCCTAAATCCAACCCAGTGATGCTAGCCAATCAACTCATAGGGAGAAGGCATCACTGACCTCCCCAACGGGCACAAGCTGTGGCAATAAAAAATAGCCAAGAGTATCTGGCAGAAGGCAGATTTCCTTCTCTGTCTTACAGGCCCCAGCAGAATGACTTGCTCCCAACTCCATTTATATGCCTCCTTTTGGTCTTTCAAATATTGATTTTTAAAATATTCTTCAGGAGAAAGCCTCTTGGGGACCTTGATGCTGGAGTTCACAAATGACGCATGCCCAGATACGTTTATTGCAGGGTGGAAATAATAGACTTTTCCCTCTCCTCCTTTCTCTCCACCTAAGTATCTCTTTATTCATTACTTTAATTACCTAATCGTAAATTTCTTTAGGGGGTTACTTAGAAAGAAAATTAGCATCAAAGCTTGGCAGTAAATTCTGGGGCTTTTGGAGACAGTCCAAGCTGTTTCACCTGTGATTAATTAGATGGGCTTTTTTTCCCCTTTAAGTGCCAGAAGGCTGTTGAGGTCTTTAAGCAGTTACATGACTGCTGGCAGTGCTGCAATTATGATGGATGCATGTGTCTGGAGTCTGGGGCTGCAGCCCAGCATTTGTTGGTGTGTATGTGAGAGACAGAGACAGAGACAGAGACAGAGGCAGAGACAGAGACAGACTTGGAAAGCACAGGCTTGGAAAAACTCCAAGAGTTTAAAAAACACAATGAGCTGCTTCTTTAATATTCTTGCAAATGCAAGTCTATAAGCTCCTGGCCAGAATCTCCTGTCAACATACTTTGGCAATTTCAGAAATGTTGGTTTAGCAGCACTCTTCCTCACCATTAGCCACCGAAGTCCTCTGTGGGTCTCTGCATAAGCTCTTTATGGCATGCTCAAAGGAATGCACATTTTCGACAATCCTTTTGCTATATAGAAAGCAGAGCAGTCACACCTGTTTTAACATTTCATCCTAGTAAAAATCTAGAGGGGGAGAATGCAGTCTCTTTGGGTAATTCACTGGGTATCAAATTATCCCCAAACACTGGCATAAAATCAAAGCAACATCTTGGTGTATTTGGAAGAAGGTTAATACTTCCAGTCACAATGAATATGCTATCAAGGATGCAACAGAGACATTTGGTGACTGTTTTATTACAAGCCCCAGCTTATCATTTTTTCCTTTATTCCCTGTGTGAATGAGAGAGTGAAAGGATCCTTCAAACCATTTGACTCATTCGAGGTAGCAGAACATTTAAAGTTTTTGCCAACTTCTGCTAAAGTGTCCATGTAAACCCAGAAACTCCTAAGCTCCTGGCCTTGAGATCATTGTCATCTCCCATCTATTGCTCCATCTGCCCATAATGGCCATGACAATATTTAAACAGCAAATTAAGTATCTGGTACTAACCTGCCCTCCAAGAGCTGACAGAAATGTTAGTCACATGGGCTGGATACAGAGACTTCTGCCTAGAGCAGGGGTCTGCCAAGTCTCTCGGTAAAGAGCCAGAGAGGAAATGCCGTAGGCTTGCGGGACAGAAGGCCTCTGTTGCAACCACTCAACCCTGTTGCGATGTGTAAAAGCGGCATAATCAAGAGGGAAATGAATGGACATGCGGCATTCTAATAAAATGTGTTTGCTGACCCCTGGCCTATGGCATGGCTTCTCAGACTTTAATGGGCATACAGACCACATGGGGATCTTGTTACAATGCAGATTTTAGTTCAGCTGGTCAGGGCTGGGCCTGCAATCTGCATCTCTAACCCCCTCCTAAGTGAACATCCCAAATGATGCTGCTGGTCCTTGGACCTCACTTTGAGCAGCAATCCTACAGTGTCTCCTGGAAATACACCCAGGGTCTTTCCAATAACACTGAGCCTCAGAGAAGGGGGAAGAGCAATTAGTTCATTAGGAATACTGCCGTAGGACTAGTATTAGTTTTATGCCCTTCGAGTCTATAATCTTCAAAGAGTCTTCCAGCATTCCACCCCAGGGAGAGCCCAGATTTCCCTCTCCTGAATGTTACCTTCCTTTTTTCACCTTTAAGATTGGTTGTTAAGGTCTTGCGTTCCTAAACGGACAGATGGCTCTGGCTGTGGCGCAGCTGCACACACAGCTCATCACCGTCATTTACGCCGTCTCTGCTGCCTAACTGCCAGCACCTTCCTGGCCCCGGCATGGAGGGCTCTAATGGCCAAGCAAAGGGCCCTCTGGCCCCTGCCTAATTGGCTGCAATGCAAGAGCTAATGTAGGTTGAGAGACCAATTAACTGGGCTTGTTTCTACTAACACTGCATCTGAACATCAATTATGCTAAACACCACACTATATTAAGACATTTCCCTGCCACTATCATTTGCTATGGGATACCTCAAAGCAGGGCAGAGAGGAGCTGCCTCTCACTGCCTGCCTGAAGGATTTCTCTCTCACAGTGCAGAGGGCTGGCGATTGGGAGCTCAGCTTCAGAACTAGAAAAACCACAACTCAGGGACGTATCTGACACTAATTGGTTACCTTATCTGGGCCTCAGTCTCTAGACCATGAGGGTTCAGGTCCAAGAAGCCAGAGAATAGGATGGGTGAGACATAATGATAATCCTACATAACCTGCTGATTCCATTAAGAAATGAAGATGTTAAGCACTCCAAGATATTTCAAGAACACCTTCCCTAAAACTGGAGAAAAATTAGTAACTGGAAGCTGTGAGGAGGAGGAAGTTATATTTTCTTCTACAGGTTTAGCTAGTTTTAAATTCCATTCCTCCATCATTTCAGTGTGAGCTCCTCCCTTGGAATGAGCTGCTTCATTTTTACATCAACACTTTGGTCTTGAGGCAGCTCGCTTCATTTTCATTCATCCTGATTGTGTAGCTCCTATATGCTGAAAATGCTGAGCAATCCAACCAAATCTATGACCCAGTGAGGTTTTCAGTTTAGTTCGGAGGATTGGACTGATTCTGAAAATTAGTCCATTTACTCAATTATTGATCCCTTGAACAAATATTTGTCAATCACCCATTATACGTCAGACATTCTTCTAGGCTAGAAACACTGGCCCTACTCTATCTAGGGTTATTGTTACATGGAAAGGCAGGTAATCAAATGAGCAATGGTAATGTGGTGTGAGATATGCTATTATGTCTGCTATAGATGCTACAAATTGTACAAAAAGCATTAAAATGTATGTTTAAAATTCTCCATTACCCACAGTGCTTACTTCAAACTTCTATCACTCTCCTTGAAGTCTTTAAACTTACAAGAGAAAGCAGGATATCAGGTGTAAGCCACCTTAGTTTCAGCCATTGGAAAGCTATGTTTGCATTTATTCTGAAACCCTTCCTTCTGATCTCATGGGAAGAGATGTTATTTCTCTTGTTGAGGTCATTCCCTCCCCCTACACTTTTGACTGGCCCTCCTGTCTCACCTAGGACCTTTCTGTAGCTGGGACTCTCTTTCTCCTTCCCAAATTGGCAACTTTATCTAAACTGGTCCCTTCTGCACAGTGTAAAATTATGATCAAGTCTGGTGTCTATCTTAAAAATAAAATCCTCCATTGATCCTGTACCTCCTTGTCTTTTCTTAACTTCCAAGCCTAGAATTCTTGCTTCTTCCTTTGTTTTCTGTTATTTCCACCTTCTGCTTACTTCTTCAAACACTTGCAGTCTGGCTTCCTCTGGCCCTATACACCCAGACACTGTTCCGGCAAAAGGCCCAAATAATCATCTCTCACTAAATCTGATGCATTCTCATTTGACTTCATCTTTCTTTATCTTGATCCCAAATTTCACATTAATGACGATCCTGTTCTCTCTTTTCCTTCTTTGCCTCTGGCCTGGTTCTCCACTACTTCACTGACCTCTGCTGATTCTTATTTCTCTGTGCGTACCTTAAATATGGTGTTTCCCATGTATGTTTCATTTTTGGATCTCTTCTTATCTCATACTATCCCTGAGTGATCCCTGATCACCTGCTGTCATCTACCACCATCTGTTGACTGTCAAAATGCATTCTAGTCAACTGTGCTCCTGTGAGCTTCGGCCCCTCCACCTGCCTCTCAGCCATCTCAGCTTGCTCTAAACCTAAGTCATCAACTTTCCACCCAAATCTGCTATTCCTTCTGT